TCATACTAGTAAAAAAATTTTGCAAGATCAGATGACATTAAATTATTAAACTGTATCTTATGGGGAGGGACAACTGTAACACTAAAAGTTAAATGTTATGCTTACAATCCTGATAACTGGGAATGTTAAAGCCTGGTGAGGGCCTAGGCAGCAGATGGGAAAACTCAGCTGTAGGATTATCCTGCTGATCTGAGAGTTAAGAACAGAGGCTCTGAAATTGAGTGGGTTTAGGTTTGAGTCTTCTTACCAACTGTGCAGCTTGAGGCTCCAGTTTGGAAATGCTAAATTATATTGGTAGTATGGTGTTGTGGGTGACTAGGGAGAAGGGGAGTGTTTCACAAACACACCAAAAATGTCCATCTGTCTAGTAACTGCAGGAATGCCTTTTTAAAAATATGCATGGGGATTAGTCATATATTTCTTATTCAGAACCTACAAAAATTCCAAGGCTAATAGAAAGGAGAATATGGGGGACAGCTGCCTGAAACTTAATCCACTAGAGGAAGAAATCCACAGGGTGGGATTCTTGGGGTAAGTTGTATAAATGTATCATTCTAGCTTTTTAGGAATGAGTCAGGGGCAGTGGGTATAGCTCAGAGGTAGAGCACTTGACTAGCAGAAGCAAGGGCTTGAGTCCCACCACCACAAAAAAGGGAGGGGAGGGATGAGTCAAAGCATTATTTTTTAAAATATCTTTTTAATATGGACACAATATCTTTATTTATTTTTAAATATTTATTTCTTTTTAAATATTTATTTTTTAGTTGTAGTTGGACACAATACCTTTATTTTATTTATTTATATGTGGTGCTGAGGATCAAACACAGAGCCTTGCATGTGCTAGGTGAGCACTCTACCACTGAGCCACAACCTCAGTCCTATTTATTTATTTTATTTATTTTTATGTGGTGCTGAGGATTGAACCCAGTGCCTCACATGTGGGAGGCAAGCACTCTGCCACTGAGCTATAACCCCAGCCCCCAAAGCATTTTAAGGCTCTATGAGTAGAAAGTATTTAATAAAAAAAATGTTTGCCCATATGTTTGCTGGCACACAAGGAAATGCTTTCAATAGAACCCACTATACAAATCTTAGTGTTTCAAAATAAGTAAAAGATACTGCCTTTTTGAAATATTCAACCATTGGTATTTTTAAAAAATCTTAAGCACATTTCAAAATTTCTTAAGCATGTTTAAAATAAGATTTTACTGTTTTTAAAGTTTTTTATTTGCCAGATATTTTCAGAAATTCATCTATTGCATGCATATGGAAATTTGTGCAAGGGCTGGATTATGATCCTCAGCACCCCTTGTATGCTTCCTTTAGGCTTTTCTTGGAAAGTAACTATGACATTCAGTCAAATTTAAAACATGCAAAGGACAGCACTTTGAAAATTATAAAGCAATAGCTACATGCTAGGCATTATGAAAATTAAATATAAATTTTAAAGTATGTGGCCTGGGATTTGCTTTGAAATAATGGAAAGGGTTGGTATTTCTTGAAACTGGATGATGCATATAATAGTTCATTATAATACTTGCTCTTTTGTATATGTGTGAAATTCTCAATGATAAAAGGGTTTTTGTTTTGTTTTGTTTAATACCTTTATTTTTATTTATTTATTTTTATCTGGTGCTGAGGATTGAACCCAGGGCCTCACACATGCTAGGGGAGCATTCAACTGCTGAGCCACAACTCCAGTCCCTGATAAAAAGTTTTTTAAGAATAAAATCTACGTGAAGCCTTAGAAGTTTGAAAACGCTTCATTTTATAGATGAGAAGAACCATCTCAGAGAGGTTAAGTAACTTTCTAGAAGTCACACAGTTAACTGCAGAGCCAGGAGCCAAATTTTTGAACTCTAGCTTCTGAGGTCCTTCCATGGCCCCACACTAGGGGCCTCAGGCAGAAATAGGTTCCTCTGGCCATTATTCCCAAATTCTTCAAACTCCCAGGAAGTACAGAGCCTGCTGGGGAGAGGGAGGGTGCTGGAAGAAGCACTGCTAGGGCCAGAGCCAGAAAGCTCTGGGCTCTTTCCAAAAACAGCAGGGTGAGGGGGAGGAAGGGAGGTTCTCTGCTGGTCTCCTCTGTCACTGACACCTGGAGCAAGAGTCACCAGAGAACCTACCTTGGCCCATGAAATGTGCTTATTCTGCCCGCACCCTTCACTCTGAACCTTTCCGAACCACCTCTCTACTGCTGAAATATCAGGGCTCTGGGAGAGATCCCTGGGTTTCCAGACATTCAGGCAAAAGGATTGGAAGCAAATTTAACCCGGCGGGACTGGAACTACACAGTTTGTAGGGGGCCTCTCTGGCAAATAAGATAAGCAGTTGTCAATAGAGATGTAGGTGGGGAAGGAGCCGCCACTGAGTCGTCCCCCCCCACCCCCCCAAGCCAGGGTAGGATGAGAAACCAAAAGGCTGGACTTGGGAGGGAGACTTCTGAGTGMGAAAGGCGTCCTGACCCTGACTTTGACCGCTAGAAAAACTGGCGAAATGGCACCGGCGCTAGGTGCCTGGAGCTGATGGTGCCTGGGCAGCGGATTGCGCCTGGAGGACCCAGCGATGCTGGCTTTGAGGGTTCCCCAAACTCAATCCAAGGACACAAGCCGAGAACAACCTCAACGTAGGGGAGCTGTGATGCCCTAAGTCCCTTATCACTTTCTGGAACCCTATTCACATTTGGTTGGATTTGGGGACTTGACTGTACCACTCCCTGAGCCTCTCCGAACAAAGCAAATGGTCCGGAACCCCTGGGCTCCATTTTTCTTCCCACTCTGGTCCATAAGCTGCCTATCTGGGATCCTTCGGAATCTCCCTTGGTTCTCCACCGGGCTCCCCGTGGCCTGCCACCTCTCATCTGCATGCACAAATCTCCCTTGGGCTCCTTCAGGGGCAACTCTCCCTGCTCTCCACTTTCGCCCACAAGACAAAGGTACTGACACCAAGTGTCTCCCGCCTTAAGGTGTGTGCCCCCTGACCCTGAACTGACACTCTGCAGGAGACAACTAGCTCCGCGGGCCGAAGTGGTGAATCCACAGTCCCAACCCACCCTACGAATCCGCGGCTCTTGACCCAGCACTTGCCCCGCGCTCCGGCTCTCGGTCCCCGACCCCAGATGCCCGGCACCAGCCCCGGGAAAGCTCACCATCGCGGCCGCTCTTCTCACCCGCTCGCTTCCCAGCTGGGCCTGCCCACCCCAACTGCTCCAGATACAGCCGTCTCCGCTGTTGTGACACACTGGGCGGGAGGGGGCCGGGGACAGACATGCCGGGCCAGCAGCTGCCCTGCGGCATCATAGTGCCAGCTGAGGGGAGGGACCCGGGCAGGTCATAATGGCACTTCCCCGCCCACCAGCGACTCAGCTTCAGCTCAGCCGGACTCCTTGGTCCCGCGGTCCTGCCCCGACTTCTAGGGTGCAGCACGCGTTGGGTTCCTCTGCGCTCCGCTGGAGAGGCAGTCCTATTAGCGAAGCGCACGTGTACTCATTCTCCACAGACACTCTGGAAGATCAGCCATTTTAATTCTAGCTGCTCAGTAAAGCAATGTAAAAATTCCATAAGAGAGAATATTATTTTTTCCCCAAACTCTCTTTTTTTCCTGCTGCCAGCACTAGCTGGCCCAGGCAGAATAGCACCGTTTTCGTTGACCTCAGTCACCCTCACTCAGGAGAGGCCAAGAGTGATCAGGCATCTTGAAGGACTCACAGGCCAGTTGCTTGTTATCAGTGTGTACTTTGGCAGATTGTTAATGGTGCTTCCACCAAGGCTCGCCTGGTTATTGAAGAATTAAACAAAATGACAAGCATTCAGCTCCTGTAACACAGTAGGTGCTCCAGAATATATATGTTCCTATTTTTACCACATCCACAATAGTGGGGGAGCCCTACACTATTATTTTCAAAACTAATTGATTCATTCCTACCTGATGCCTTCCTACTTTTAAGCACCAAATATGCCCTTCTCACCTTTCCTAAGTATACCAGATAACAGGGTTCCTGCTACCTCTTTGCTGGATAGTAGGACCTCCTCTTTGTGGCCACAGATGATGTTGAAGGGCAAGGGAATTTATTTGCCCTCTAGTTGGGAAGAGATGCGAGGAAGTGGACTTGGTCTTAAAGAGCCCCTCTGTACACTTTAGATGTTGGTCACTTCATCAAACCCATTCTTCTTTCCCCTTGCCTCCCCAAACTGAGTGGGTGGTTGGATGGTTCTTGTTTCTTGGTCTTACTGCAAAATTCCCTACCATGAGCCACTTCATGCTGAAGGGTGTAACCTAACTTCTGTCCCCTCCCACATTCCTGAGGCAACTGGAACCTTGCAGGCAGATTGATGATGAAATAGCCCCCTCTCAGCAGGACCATTTGTTTCCTAGGCGCAGAATTGCCCTCCTTCAGAATCATGGGTCTGATAAAGGTCCTGAGTAGCAAGTGGAGATGGCCTCCTCAAGAGATAAGAACTTACCTGGAGCCACCTAGCAGAACCAGATCTGAAATAATGACCAATCAGACCACAGTTTGACCAAGACCGTTTGATCTGGTCAAATCAGTATCCAGAGACAGGACTGAGATGCAGATGACCAATAAGTCACTGCAAGCAATATTGTTTTTTCCTGAAGACATTGACATTATGGGAGTCCTGGGCCAGAGGTACAACTCTTGGGGGGGGGGTCCCCAAAAGAACAGGTCTGACCACTTACCTCAAATCCAAACAGAAAAGATAATGATGAAAAGCAGGAAAGGAACTATAATCAATATGGCCATGTTGAGAGGTGAGATCAAGCATCTCAGTCCTGTCTCTGGGGTACTGATTTGACCAAGATCAAACGGTCTTGGTCAAACTGTGGTCTGATTGGTCATTATTTCAGATCTGGTTCCGCTAGACAGCTCCAGGTAAGTTCTTATCATTTGAGGGAGCTATCTCCACTTGCTGCTCAGGACCTTTATCTATCAGACCTATGATTCTGGAAAGAGGGCAATTCTGCTCCCAGGAAACAAATAATCCTGCTGAGAGGGGGTGGTCTCACCATTGATCTGCCTACAAGGTTCCATTGTTCCTGGAAGTTGTAGAGTAATAACAGAAGACTTCTAGATGCCATTCCAAGGGGTCTAGAACAGGATGTTATAAAAGCTGGCAAATGAATGTCCCTGCCAATCTTGAAAATACTTTAATTACTCTTATCTTGGTGTCTTTAGCCTGGAAGCAGGGAGATGAACAGCTTCAGATGAACACTCTTTAAGTGATTAACATGACTGTATACAGTGTTAAGCAGGAATCTGACCCAAATTTTAAGGTAATAAAAAAGACAAATACAAAAAAAAAAAAACAGAAATGCCAAGCATTTTCCTGCTTTTAGTTACCTATTGGCATCTGCCAAGCAAAGGTACTTTCAGCAAAAACAGCTTCTAATTCTGTTACTCTGCTGATAGAGCTGCTTTGACCGGATGTAGTGATTCCAAGTCTCCAAGCACAAATGATATTTACTTTCCTGACACTCATAAGAGGCGCTTATCTCTGGCCAGTAGAGAATAAAAACAGTTTTTTTCCTTATGCATATAACAATTTGTTTGGCTGACCAACTGTTCACAGATTTTCCAATTAATGCATTTCTTAAGGATAGGACACATGTTTAATCATCTTTGCATCTGAAGGGGTACCAGAATATAATGATTTGCCTGCTGATACATAGAGGACTTAGTAAATTATCATCAAACCATCTTATCTACACCTTGAATGGGTTTTGAGTAAGCCATGACTACACCATAAAAGCTGAATCTTTTGGTTTCAAGGAGATAAAAAGAAGTTTACCAGTTGTAGACTGAATTGTACACCCCAAATTTATATGTTAAGCCTTAACCCCCAATGTGATTATTTGAAGATGGAATCTTTAAGATTACAAGAGATGATTAAGATTTTTAAAAGTACCTGATATGTCGGTGCACAACTATAATCCCAGTGACTCAGGAAACTGAGGCAGGAACATCACAAGTTCAAGGCCAGCTTCATCAACTTAACCCTATCTCAAAATATTAAAAAGGCTAGGGATGTAGCTCAGTGGTAAAGCACTTGTCTAGCACATTCAATCCCCAGTACCTCCAAAATAAGAAATTAAATGAAGTAATGAGGATGAGGCCCTAAAAGACTAAATGAAGTCATAAAGACAAGGTCTCATAAAGACTGACATCCATAAAAGAAGAGGAAGAGACATCAGGAGTGTGCTCACACAGATGAAAAGTCATGTGAGGACACAGAGAGAAGGCAAATATCTACATACCCAGGAAAGAGGCCTCAAGATACACCAGCCCTATCTGCACCTTGATCTTGGACTTCCAGCCACAGAAACATGAGAAAGTTAAGTTTCTGTTGTTTCAGCTGCCCATTCTGTGGTATTTTCTATGGCAGCCCTTGCAGACTAAGACAGTGGCCTTCAATTCTTTGGCCTAAAAAACATGTAGCTCTTTTCTGTTAAGCCCTCCTTCTTCAAATTATTTGACTTGTGAAATCCCAGATCTATTATTGAAATATCCCCCATCCCACCCTACCCTACACTTTTTTCCCTGAGTAGAAGTTTGGAAGAGTAAAAGGACATGATTTTTTATTCCCTTGATGTTTAGTTTTATGTATCCATATAACAGAGGCTCAGAGTGCCCAAACATTGATCAAATGTTCTTCTGGGATTTCTGTATGGGTGTTTCTGGATGAAATGAACTTTTGAATCAGTGCACCAAATTAAGAAGATCGCATTCCTTCATGTGAATGGGCCTCATCCAATCAACTGAATACAAAATTATATGAAAGGACTGAATAGGAGTGGACTTCTTCCTGCCTGGCTGTTGGAGCGAGGACATTGGACTTCTTTTGCCTTTGTACTTACACCATCAGCTCTTCTGAGTCTCCAGTCTGCTCACTGTAGAACATATAGCTTCTTGGCCTTCATAATTGCATAAGTCAAATCTTTATAATAATAAGACTGAGGGTGTAGCTTCCCTGGTGGTAAAGTGTTTCCCTAGCAATGTGGGTTCAATCCCCAGTGTTACAAATATTTTTTTTAAAATCCAGTTAGGATGTATGAATGTATTTCTCCTTGTATAAATTTTTGTTCTGTAAGGTCATACTATCCAATGTAATAATTATAATGGTGACCCCAAAATTTGAGCCATATTCATTTGAATAAGAAGGTAAGATAATTTCTATTATTTACCAAGAAAAAGAGTCTTCATAATATTTATGTATTTAGCATAATACATGTATATTTAGCATGTATCATTTGCATAATAATTACACAGAATTTCTTGATATGAGCACCTTCTGTATCACCTTCTGTATACCAAAAGTCATGCTAAGGATTTTCTGTGCATTCTCTTCTACTCCTCACAACAAAACCTCTGAAATTAAAAGTTTATTGTCTTCACTTTAGGATGAAGAATCTGAGGCTTTATCAAGAATACAAATAATAATATATGTTGGCAAGGATATGGGAAAAAGGTATATTCATACATTGTTGGTAGGACTGCAAATTAGTATATCTATTCTGAAAAAGCAGGATGGAGATTCCAAAAAAAAAAAAAACAACAACAACTAGAAATGAAATCACCATACAATGCAACTATTCCACTCCTCAGTATAAACTCAAAACATCTAAAATCAGTGTACTATAGGGATTCAGCCATATCAATGTCTATAGCAGCACAATTTATTTTATATATATATATATATATATATATTTATATATATATATATTTATATATATATAAAACAGCCTAGGTGCCCATCAACAGACAAATGGATAAAGAAAATGCTATATATACACAATGGAGTTTTACTCTGTCTTAAAGAAGAACAAAATTATGGCATTTGGTGTCAAATAGATGGAACTGGAGAATATCATACTAAATGAAAAAGCCAAACCCAGAAAGTCAAGGGTTGAATGTTTTTTCTCATATGTGTAGACCAAAATAAGGGAAAATAAAGAAAAAGGTGGGGGGTATCCCATGAAAATAGAAGATTAGTGGATAGAGGAAGGGAAGGGAGGTGGGAAGGAAAAAGGGAAGAACAGTAAAATGAATATGACCAAACTTTCCTGTATACATATATGAATATATCACAGTGATTTCACCTTTATTTATATTCACAAGGCACCAATTTTAAAAATCTATAAATAAATAAAAGATCAGTATAGGAAAGGGAGCAGGAAGAAGGAAGTGGGGAGGAAAAGGGGAAGTACTTGGAACTGAATTGGAACAAATATGTCAAAATGAACTCCCAATATTATGTATGTCTATATTGAACTAATAAAAAAGAATCTAAGGCTTAGAAATGTTAACTGTTGCCC